CCCCCCCCCCCGCGGATTATACAATCTACACCGGAGGGCAATATTTCCATAATACATAATTCAGAGATGGCTGCCGGGTGCAGAGGATGGGAGGACAGCTGCACCACACAATGGGGCTGACAAGACAACGTCATGCGCCCCCGACCGTCAAACCCTCCGCGTCCGCCACCTCGCCGGGTGCCTGAGGAAGTGCCACGGAGAGACAGCCAAGTGATGAGCATGCAGGACACACATCATACACGGGACACGGCACGGAGGTCATAGATACATCAAAGCTTGTATGCCCTGACCAAAGAACTAGGAATAGGTCAGTCTGACGGCAAGGTCTGAGAACTAGGAATGTGCAGAGGTGCACGATCCTAGTTCTCAGCTGTAATGTTTATTTACACTCTCACGGTACGGGGCATCATGTGGGGAGGGGGGGGGGGTGTATTGTAGTCATGAAGTGGTTGACGCTAAAAAGTGCACATTGATGAGGGCCATTTTTAAACCCAGCAGGTCAGGTTTGTAGACTTCCAGGTATGATTACCATAATGAGGCCTCGGACACGCAGGATTCCAGGGAGGAATGGCCACCCAACACCCCCTGACATGGGAATGATACCGGCCCGACAGGGAAAGGGGTGCACGGGCAGATACCGGCCCGACAGAGGGGTGCACGGGCAGATACCGGCCCGACAGAGGGGTGCACGGGCAGATACCGGCCCGACAGAGGGGTGCACGGGCAGATACTGGCCCGACGGGTAGACAATAGGCTGAATGATAATATCTGCAGGAAAAATCATCACAATGATGACAAATAATTTCTCTTTCGTGTGGCGCGGTGTCGGAGATACTCATGAACTCGTATGCTGGACATGTCATTGAACGGGAGTATAGAATGGGCCAGGCAAGCGTCATGGCACCTCATTGTAATAGCGGAAAATGAATCCGTGCAAAAAGCTGAATATTGCAGAGTGATTGATGTCTCCATACAGATGGAGGAGATTACCCGTCATGCAATGTATTGTCAGTCACACACCACATCACAAGCCATGCACCAACCAGGTAGTTATTACACACAAAAGTCCCCCCCGTGATGGCACCACAGCCTGGCAGTGTTATTAGAAGGTGAACACAAGGCAGCAGATGGAAGGAGCAGCCAGGAGAAAAGATGGAGGACCTACCTCTGCTCTCCAGTGCTGTAGAGCCGACAGGAGAGACCATCAAGGATATAGGGGAAGGGCATGGGAGGGTAGAAGGGCATGGGAGGCAGGGTAGAAGGGCATGGGAGGCAGGGTAGAAGGGCATGGGAGGCAGGGTAGAAGGGCATGGGAGGCAGGGTAGAAGGGCATGGGAGGGAGGAAGGGTAGAAGGGCATGGGAGGGAGGAAGGGTACATAAGGGCATGGGAGGGAAGTTGAAAGGTGAGGGGAGGGAAGGAAAGGTGTAAGGGCAGAAGGGCATGGGAGGGCAGAAGGGCATGGGAGGGCAGAAGGGCATGGGAGGGAGGAAGGGTAGAAGGGCATGGGAGGGAAGTTGAAAGGTGAGGGGAGGGCAGAAGGGCATGGGAGGGAAGGAAAGGTGAGGGGAGGGAAGGAAAGGTGGAAGGGCAGAATGGAATGGCAGAGAGGAAGGGATGCAAGAAAGAGGGAAGAGAAGGAAGGGAAGGAATAGGAAGGTAGAGAGGGAAGATAGGAGGAGAGGAGAAGGACAGAGACGGGAGAAGATAACACACAACGAAAGAAAAAAGAAAGGAAGCATTAAAAGATATAAGAGACATTTTCTCAAATAATAAAGTGCACAAGTCTGATCTGTATTACAGGAGATCTCACACAATGGACTCCATCCCATGTCATAGTAAGGACAGCAGAAAGCCAACACTGACCAACAAGGACCTTTCATATTATAGAGGACAGTCCCTATTATACAAGGGGCGTGATACGTGGAATACACGGCATGGACCTTGTTTCCAGAGTGAAGTATCAGAATGGGAGTAGGAGGTATAAATGCCGACGCCGCGTATTAGTGATAAAGCGATCGGTGAGTAACCAGAGAAATCTGGAGCCCCGAGGAGAACAATCAACTAATAAATCCCTTCTACCAGAAGCCATAAAAATTCCCGAGATTACAGGAGAGTCCTGGCCCTCTTACCTCCCACACCTATACCCATGTCCCCAAAAAGAGGTCAGGGTGGAGGCTGCACACTAGGTAGGGATCTCAATGTACAAAGGTCAGCAGAACCACAATACATGTGTGAGCTGTATACCACTATGCAGAGCCCGGAGGGAACGTAGAGTATATGAAGGCGGCACATCTGTCTGCTAACACAACAATCATTATATTACATTATATTCCTCGTCTATGAGGGTGGAGAGAGAAGATTAAAAGCATTTCCAAAGAGGTGATCCATACAAAGACGGGATCACTCCCAACTGTCACACCGACATGAATGGGCCTCTTATAACTGGTAGAATTATACAGCTATACCCGCGGGCCCTGCCGACCCACCCAGTGATTATTAACTGGCAGAGGGCATGTTTTTATGTCTTCTACGCCAACAAGAGAACTGTTGTCTCCTTAGCTGGCCCAGGTAGAGCGATGGCAAACCAAAGCAGATCTAATGAGTGCTAGCTCTGCAGGATAGAAATAAGCATTTTTTGTACATAAGATAACAGGACTCTCGGGTTAACCAGTATGCCCCGGCTTCACCAGCACATCCTACCTACCACTATTCTAAACAGAATTCCCCACCTCGCTCGCAAAGAGCCAATTTAAGGTTTGCCAGGGCTGGTCACTGTACTACCAGTGTATTGGAGTTATAGGAACACCATAGCTAGCCCTTGGGATAACTGGGAAACCATAGCTAGCCCTTGGGATAACTGGGAAACCATAGCTAGCCCTTGGGATAACTGGGAAACCATAGCTAGCCCTTGGGATAACTGGGAAACCATAGCTAGCCCTTGGGATAACTGGGAAACCATAGCTAGCCCTTGGGATAACTGGGAAACCATAGCTAGCCCTTGGGATAACTGGGAAACCATAGCTAGCCCTTGGGATAACTGGGAAACCATAGCTAGCCCTTGGGATAACTGGGAAACCATAGCTAGCCCTTGGGATAACTGGGAAACCATAGCTAGCCCTTGGGATAACTGGGAAACCATAGCTAGCCCTTGGGATAACTGGGAAACCATAGCTAGCCCTTGGGATAACTGGGAAACCATAGCTAGCCCTTGGGATAACTGGGAAACCATAGCTAGCCCTTGGGATAACTGGGAAACCATAGCTAGCCCTTGGGATAACTGGGAAACCATAGCTAGCCCTTGGGATAACTGGGAAACCATAGCTAGCCCTTGGGATAACTGGGAAACCATAGCTAGCCCTTGGGATAACTGGGAAACCATAGCTAGCCCTTGGGATAACTGGGAAACCATAGCTAGCCCTTGGGATAACTGGGAAACCATAGCTAGCCCTTGGGATAACTGGGAAACCATAGCTAGCCCTTGGGATAACTGGGAAACCATAGCTAGCCCTTGGGATAACTGGGAAACCATAGCTAGCCCTTGGGATAACTGGGAAACCATAGCTAGCCCTTGGGATAACTGGGAAACCATAGCTAGCCCTTGGGATAACTGGGAAACCATAGCTAGCCCTTGGGATAACTGGGAAACCATAGCTAGCCCTTGGGATAACTGGGAAACCATAGCTAGCCCTTGGGATAACTGGGAAACCATAGCTAGCCCTTGGGATAACTGGGAAACCATAGCTAGCCCTTGGGATAACTGGGAAACCATAGCTAGCCCTTGGGATAACTGGGAAACCATAGCTAGCCCTTGGGATAACTGGGAAACCATAGCTAGCCCTTGGGATAACTGGGAAACCATAGCTAGCCCTTGGGATAACTGGGAAACCATAGCTAGCCCTTGGGATAACTGGGAAACCATAGCTAGCCCTTGGGATAACTGGGAAACCATAGCTAGCCCTTGGGATAACTGGGAAACCATAGCTAGCCCTTGGGATAACTGGGAAACCATAGCTAGCCCTTGGGATAACTGGGAAACCATAGCTAGCCCTTGGGATAACTGGGAAACCATAGCTAGCCCTTGGGATAACTGGGAAACCATAGCTAGCCCTTGGGATAACTGGGAAACCATAGCTAGCCCTTGGGATAACTGGGAAACCATAGCTAGCCCTTGGGATAACTGGGAAACCATAGCTAGCCCTTGGGATAACTGGGAAACCATAGCTAGCCCTTGGGATAACTGGGAAACCATAGCTAGCCCTTGGGATAACTGGGAAACCATAGCTAGCCCTTGGGATAACTGGGAAACCATAGCTAGCCCTTGGGATAACTGGGAAACCATAGCTAGCCCTTGGGATAACTGGGAAACCATAGCTAGCCCTTGGGATAACTGGGAAACCATAGCTAGCCCTTGGGATAACTGGGAAACCATAGCTAGCCCTTGGGATAACTGGGAAACCATAGCTAGCCCTTGGGATAACTGGGAAACCATAGCTAGCCCTTGGGATAACTGGGAAACCATAGCTAGCCCTTGGGATAACTGGGAAACCATAGCTAGCCCTTGGGATAACTGGGAAACCATAGCTAGCCCTTGGGATAACTGGGAAACCATAGCTAGCCCTTGGGATAACTGGGAAACCATAGCTAGCCCTTGGGATAACTGGGAAACCATAGCTAGCCCTTGGGATAACTGGGAAACCATAGCTAGCCCTTGGGATAACTGGGAAACCATAGCTAGCCCTTGGGATAACTGGGAAACCATAGCTAGCCCTTGGGATAACTGGGAAACCATAGCTAGCCCTTGGGATAACTGGGAAACCATAGCTAGCCCTTGGGATAACTGGGAAACCATAGCTAGCCCTTGGGATAACTGGGAAACCATAGCTAGCCCTTGGGATAACTGGGAAACCATAGCTAGCCCTTGGGATAACTGGGAAACCATAGCTAGCCCTTGGGATAACTGGGAAACCATAGCTAGCCCTTGGGATAACTGGGAAACCATAGCTAGCCCTTGGGATAACTGGGAAACCATAGCTAGCCCTTGGGATAACTGGGAAACCATAGCTAGCCCTTGGGATAACTGGGAAACCATAGCTAGCCCTTGGGATAACTGGGAAACCATAGCTAGCCCTTGGGATAACTGGGAAACCATAGCTAGCCCTTGGGATAACTGGGAAACCATAGCTAGCCCTTGGGATAACTGGGAAACCATAGCTAGCCCTTGGGATAACTGGGAAACCATAGCTAGCCCTTGGGATAACTGGGAAACCATAGCTAGCCCTTGGGATAACTGGGAAACCATAGCTAGCCCTTGGGATAACTGGGAAACCATAGCTAGCCCTTGGGATAACTGGGAAACCATAGCTAGCCCTTGGGATAACTGGGAAACCATAGCTAGCCCTTGGGATAACTGGGAAACCATAGCTAGCCCTTGGGATAACTGGGAAACCATAGCTAGCCCTTGGGATAACTGGGAAACCATAGCTAGCCCTTGGGATAACTGGGAAACCATAGCTAGCCCTTGGGATAACTGGGAAACCATAGCTAGCCCTTGGGATAACTGGGAAACCATAGCTAGCCCTTGGGATAACTGGGAAACCATAGCTAGCCCTTGGGATAACTGGGAAACCATAGCTAGCCCTTGGGATAACTGGGAAACCATAGCTAGCCCTTGGGATAACTGGGAAACCATAGCTAGCCCTTGGGATAACTGGGAAACCATAGCTAGCCCTTGGGATAACTGGGAAACCATAGCTAGCCCTTGGGATAACTGGGAAACCATAGCTAGCCCTTGGGATAACTGGGAAACCATAGCTAGCCCTTGGGATAACTGGGAAACCATAGCTAGCCCTTGGGATAACTGGGAAACCATAGCTAGCCCTTGGGATAACTGGGAAACCATAGCTAGCCCTTGGGATAACTGGGAAACCATAGCTAGCCCTTGGGATAACTGGGAAACCATAGCTAGCCCTTGGGATAACTGGGAAACCATAGCTAGCCCTTGGGATAACTGGGAAACCATAGCTAGCCCTTGGGATAACTGGGAAACCATAGCTAGCCCTTGGGATAACTGGGAAACCATAGCTAGCCCTTGGGATAACTGGGAAACCATAGCTAGCCCTTGGGATAACTGGGAAACCATAGCTAGCCCTTGGGATAACTGGGAAACCATAGCTAGCCC